TGAGAATTTTCTTTCTTTACACAGCGAGTGGTTACAGTCTGGGACACATGGTATGAAAACAAAAGTGGAAGCAAATTTGATTGTAACTTCCAGTACCTTTTAATTACCCAACAGGGAAAAAAAATTGCAAGGCTGTGAAGAAAGAATAGGGTAGTGGGATTAATTGAATAGTTCTTTTTAGGGGATATCACAGGGGAAATGACCTGAAGGATCTCCTTCTGTGCTGTCTATGAAATTTAGTCAGTCCTGTAATATCGGTTGGTCCATTGTGTCCTGTATGATTTGTGAGCCCTTCTTGATGAAGGGTGTTGTTGAAGCCATACTTTTGAAGTTGGTTTTTACCTGCTGTCTGGGGATGGCTGGAAGGTGCCTCACTTGGCTGAAATTAAAAGCAGACAATGAAAACAACTTGCATTTTTTTTTACAAAGAATCTTCAACATATCAAAACATCCCAAGAGGCTTCATAGGAACATTATCATGACCAAATTTGACACCGAGCTCCGTAAGGATTTATCAGGGCAGATAACTTGGTCAAAGAATGGGTTCGAAGAAGATATTTAAGGAAAAGGACAAAATTGAGGTGTTTAAGAAGAGATTTTCCCATTTTAGGGCAGCCCAGACAACTGAAGTCTCAGCCACCAGTGGTAGAGCACATAAAATCGGGGACACTCAAGAAGTCAAAGCCAGAGAAGCACAGAGATCTCAGAGGTTGTAGAGCTGGTGGATGTACAAAGATAAAGAGATGTCAGAGGGAACAAATGCGCTTAACGCATGCTCACATGACAGAGATTTGACAAATATCACAATTACATAATGTGAACTTGCATAGCTTGTGATACTTTTGTGCTGAAATGGTCATCTCGTTTGAATTCAAGTTAGGAAGAAAAGGTTCACTTTAGAACAGGAATCCACACTCTTAGTTACTCTGTCCAGGACAAGTGAGATATTTTTAGTTTAATACAATTCTGACAGAAATAAGTACCTCTTAAAAAATATGGACATAATCCATTGTTTCTTGCAAGTGGAACAGAAATGTCACAAAAAGATTAATAATTATCTCTTGTTCTGCTTTCTGCTTTCCTTCCTTTAGTTAGCCTTAGCAATGGGGAATAAAATTTCTTAAATTGTGTTGAAAGTGTGTGAGAAACAGTGTTTGGGACGCATCCCGATTGTCAGTGTGACTGCTCAGCAGTGAAGTTTTCAGAATTAGCTATTTCACGGATTATTCAATCTGAGAACAATTGAAAGAGAAATTGTGGGGTTTTTTGTGAGCGAATTTCAGCTTTTGTCAGGTTTTATTTTGTCATTGATTTCCTAAAGAGTTGTGGAGTCTTTGTTATGGCACAGTAGAATGCCATTGGGCCCATCTAATCTATATTGGATCATTGCCTGCTTCCACCACCACAGTGAACTATCAATCTTAATTCTCAGTCAGGCAGGTAGATTCTAATAGGTCAGTGTATTGTCATGGGAATGCAGCAAAATTTGGCTGTCTCCATGGTCCTTACTTTTGAAAAGGTGTGATGTATATACAAATTCCTTTTGCCTCTATCAAACAGGGTGCTGAGTATTTACATATGTAGCTTTGAGCACATAAGAACATAAAAACTAGGAGCAGGAGTAGGCCATCTGGCCCCTCGAGCCTGCCCCGCCATTTAATAAGATCATGGCTGATCTTTTTGAGACTCCGCTCCACTTACCCGCCCACTCACCATAACCCTTAATTCCTTTACTGTTTAAAAATTTATCTAGCCTTGCCTTAAAAACATTCAGCGAGGTAGCTTCAACCGCTTCACTGGGCAGGGAATTCCACAGATCCACAACCCTTTGGGTGAAGAAGTTCCTCCTGACCTCAGTCCTACATCTGCTTCCCTTTATTTTGAGGCGATGCCCTCTATTCCTAGTTTCACCTGCTAGCGGAAACAACCTCCCTGCCTCCACCTTATCTATTCCCTTCATAATCTTATATGTTTCCATAAGATCTCTCCTCATTCTTCTGAATTCCAATGAATATAATCCCAGTCTACTCCGTCTCTCCTCATAATCCAACCCTCTCAACTCTGGAATCAACCGAGTGAATCTCCTCTGCACCCCCTCCAATGCTAGTATATCCCTTCTCAAGTAAGGAGACCAAAACTGCACACAATACTCCAGGTGTGGCCTCACCAGGACCCTATACAGCTGCAGCATAGCCTCCCTGTTTTTAAACTCCATCCGTCGAGCAATGGCAGACAAAATTCCATTTGCCTTTTTAATTACCTGCTGCACCTGCAATCCCACCTTCAGCAATTCATGCACAAGGACACCCAAGTCCCTCTGCACAGCTGTTATTCCTACCAAAATGGATGACCTCACACTTATCAACATTGTACTCCATCTGCTAGACCTTTGCCCACTCACTTAGACTATCTATATCCCTCTGCAGACTTTCAGTGTCTTCTGCACACTTTGCTCTACCACTCACCTTAGTGTCATCTGCAAATTTTGACACACCACACTTAGTCCCCAACTCCAAATCATCTATGTAAATTGTAAACAATTGCGGTCCCAAAACTGATCCCTGAGGCACACCACTAGCCACTGACCGCCAACCAGAAAAACACCCATTTACCCCTACTCTTTGCTTTCTACTGGTCAACCAATCCTCTATCCATGCCAATACATTACCTGTAATACCGTGCAACTTTATCTGATGTAGCAGCCTTTGGTGTGGCACCTTGTCAAATGCCTTCTGGAAATCCAGATACACCACATCCACAGGTTCCCCATGCATATGCATCTCACTGTAGGTAATGTCAAAGTGGTTTTCAGTGTAAAGCTTAGCAACAGTCCGAATTATTTAACAAGTAATTTCCAATCCCAGAATCACATCAAATAGTAAATGCACTCTTCAGAGCAAGCACAGGCTGATTTGGCATAAGCAGCTTGCTCTGAGCTGTGGATGGTCAGTGAGATAGTGAACAACACAGAGATGATTGATGTTCTTGCTGCATCTTCAATCCAGTGATAACCCAACTATCATCCTCTCCCATGCTGTATAAAATGCAGTCTCTTTCTTTTCCCCAAGTTTGTTTTGTGTGTCCCGGTTCTGATGGGTGCAGGACAAAAAGCTTCAATTTCTAAAATGCCTTGATTTGGTGTCAAGACCCTGAAGTGGGATATGATGCTATAACCTTCTGCTATCATCAATGAAGCAACTCCAACTCGAAAAATGTAACCTAGAAACATAAAAGACAGGAGCAGGAGGAGGCCATTCGGCCCTTCGAGCCTGCTCTGCCATTCTTCACAATCATGGCTGATCGTCCAACTCAATAGCCTGATCCTGCTTTCTCCCCATAACCTTTGATCCCATTCACCCCAAGTGCTATATCTAGCCACCTCTTGAATACATTCAATGTTTTGGCATCAACTTCTTCCTGTGGTAATGAATTCCACAGGCTCACCATTCTTGGGTGAACATGATCAAAGCAATTGTAAAAATATAGTTAAATCGTTTGATTTGGCTAATGCTAACAACAATCGGCAACACATCACCTTCCCAGCCATCCCTGACTTTCTGTTCCACCCAGGGAGAGTCCCACACTGTGGGCATACCAGCACAGGCTGGTATTGAGCAATGGTGGGGCGTGGAGGGACCTTTGTGCCAATTAAAGTCACTTCCCCACCTCCAAGCTCCCTTTAACCCAACCAACCCCCAATCGGTACTGGGTTTACTTTTGTTTGTCATTTATGTAAATGATTTGGACAGGAAAAAAGAAGGCAAGGTTAGTATATTTGCAGATGACACCAAGATTGGTAGTATAATGGATAGTGAAGAAGTTTATCTAAGATTACTAAAAGGTTTTGATCAGTTGGGTCAATGGGCTGAGGAGTGGCAGATGGAGTTTAATTTGGATAAATATGAGGTATTGCATTTTGCAAACGGAAACAAGCACAGGGCTTATACAGTTAATGGTATGGCCCTGGGTAGTGTTGTACAACAGAGAGACCTAGAGGTTCAGGTACATAATTCTTTGAAATTTGCATCACAGGTAGACAGGGTGGTTAAGAAGGCATCAAGCAACCTTGCTCAGACCTTTGGGTATGGGATGTCATATTGAGGTTGTACAGGACAATGGTGAAGCCTCTTCTGGAGTACAGTGTGCAGTTCTGGTCACCCTGTTATAGGAAGGATATTATTAAACTGGAGAGGGCTCAGAAAAGATTTACCAGGATGTTGCTGGGAATGGAGGGTTTATGATATAAAAATAGACTGGAAATGCTGGGACATTTTTTACTGGAACACAGAGGATTGAGGGGTGACCTTTATTGAGGTTTATAAAATCATGAAGGGCATAGATAAGATGAATGACAAAGGTCTTTTCCCCAAACATGGGGGAGTTAAAAACTAGGGGGCATATTTTTAAGGTGAGAGGAAAAGATTTAAAAGGGACACGAGGGGCAATTTTTTTACACAGTGAGTGGTTCATGTGTGGAAATGAACTGCCAGAGAAAGTGGTGGATGTAGGTACAGTTACAACATTTAAAAGACACTTAGATAGCCATCCCTGACTTTCTGTTCCACCCAGGGAGAGGCCCACACTGTGGGCATACCAGCACGGGCTGGTGTTGAGCAATGGTGGGGCGTGGAGGGACCTCTGTGCCAATTAAAGTCACTTCCCCACCTCCAAGCTCCCTTTAACCCAACCAACACCCAACCTCCCAAAGCTGTACAGTGAAGTTATTGGGAATGCGGGAGCAATGTGCCTGATGCAAAATATCACTCTCAGTATCGACAGCATCTCAAACACAATTCCTTACCATTCATCATTTCCCACACTTCTCAAATAATTTCAGTTTTGCTCTGTTATTAGCAATAGGTCACATTCTTGCATTTAATATATCCAAAGTTGTCTCGAATTAATCCTGAATTATATCCTTATATCCTCCTTTGCCATTCGTACTTCTTTGTGACATGTTGATGTTGCCTGGTGTTATCGTTGAGCTCTTCTGATTGCAGGGAAAATTGAGAAGTCTGGTTCCGTGTCACCATCGACTGAAAGCCCCATGCCTCTTCCACAGCCAGACTGCACACCTACAGAACAGGAGCCTTCTGGACCAGGTCGTTCCAGGGGACTGATGGAGACGTTACTGGAAGACTTTGAGATACAGAAAGTTAAACGGAGAGAGAGGCGGGACGAGCCCAATGTGAGCAGCTGAGTCTTGTGTCGGCAATGCTGGAAGTTAAGGGGGTTGTAGGGTCCATTCAGTGAGCAAAGTGGGGAGATTTACCAAGGGCCCCCCGTGCCTTTGAAAGAGTTAGCTCACCCAGTCTCTTCCTCAGCATTTACTAGAAACAGGAAGGATTGTGTGTTTGGGAGAAACTGGTGTACCAGTAATGGCACTGAATTAGTCATTCAGAGTCCGGGGCAGTTGGTGAAACTTATATTTAAGTTCTCAATTGGGAGTTGGAAACAAGTCTCAATAATGCTGAGCAGGAAACTATCATTGATTGTTGTAAAATAAAATCTGATTCGTTAATGCCCGTTAGGGATGAAAATCTGCCATCCTTATCTGGTCTGGCCCACATACGTCTCTTAACTGTCCTGTGAAAGGGTGCAGCAAACCTTTCAATTCAAGAGTAATAAAAACCCCAATCATGTTAAAGAAAAGGAACTTGATAGAAGCCTTTAAAATATCAGATTTGGTTGAGGTAGCCATGAAGATGATTGTTCACCCTCAGGTGTAGCTGAAAACCAGAGGCTATTGCAGGAATGTGAGCAGCGGGAATGGGGCTAATTGGAATAGTTCCTTCACAGAGCCAGCACAAACACTAAAGGGCCAAATGGCCACTGTCTGTGCTACCTGACTAGGATTGGATATCATTACAAGAAGAGTCTATGAATTTACTTTCCCACTATGATCCCTCTACCTCAACAGCGTCCCCCCATAATTTTCTTTTCATATGGTCAAATACAAATGAGATCAGGAGTATAAAGGTAAGCAACAATGATGATAAATCTCAATCAGAATGAAAAAAGGTCAGTGATGACGTTGACGGGGGTCGGAAGAAAACAATTTAAGATCAAAGTAATTGTATTTCCATTCACAACCTATTTATCACATTTGAGGGTTTCTGGAGGTTGTCAAGTCTTGCGGTTTCACATTTGTGGTCTTGTGTGTTTTCTGAATCTTGTGCCTTTTTAATCTTTTAAATTTGCTTGCACCTGTTTGCTTTTTGAGTAAAGACCCAAGAGTTGGATAGTGAATTATAAAATACGCATCCCATGTATCTGAAATAGAAATGTAACAATAATCATGTTACACTTATCACCAACCTGAAGACAGGCATGGTAAAGCAGGGTAAGTAGCTCTGATAGGAAATACCCTTCGAATGTTTGTCACATGTCCCCCCACCAACAACTGTCCCATCCAGTAAAAGTCCCTAATGCCCATTTTCCAATCTTGTAAAAGCTAATGCACAAAAAATGGAAAAATCTTGCATTTTTTACAAGGCCTTTCATGACCCCAGGACATCAAAAACCACTTTACAGCCAGTGAAGTACATTTTGAAGTGTAACCACTGTTGCACTATAGGAAACATGACAGACATTATGCCCACAGCCAAATCCCACAACAGCAACACATGAATGCCCAATTGTATAGGAGTCCAATGGGGGATGTAGATTGGAACCTCCCCCTGTTGATCAATAGGGTGTAATGTCTACAGAAGAGAGCATGGATAGGTATAACCCAAAAAACGAAACTACAGAAAACTTGACAGGGGAGGCAGCTGCACAGGGATAACGGCACTTTGGACTTCTAGTTGAGAACCCCACACTAATGTTCTGGGCACGTGTGTTTGAATCCCAACATGGTAAAATAATTGCCAATCTATTCCTTTTAGGATAAGCAGCTCTGGTAGAACATTCATAGGATCCCTACAGTGTGAAAGCAGGTCATTGAGCCCATCAAGTCCACACTGACCCTCTGAAGACCATTCTACCCCATCTCCGTAACCCTGCATCTTCCATGGCTAATCAACCCAGCCTGCACATCCCTGGACACTATGGGCAATTTAGCATGGCCAATCCCCCTAACCTGCACATCTTTGGACTGTGCGAGGAAACCGGAGCACCCAGCGGAAACCCATGCAGACACTGGGAACATGTGCAAACACCACACAGACAGTCACCCGAGGTTAGAATCAAACCCTGGTCCCTGGCGCTGTGAGGCAGCAGTGCTAACCACTGAGCCACCGTGCCACCTTTTCCAGATGATGAAATTTGAATTCACTAAAAATCTGGAATTAAAATCTATCCTAATGGTGACTGTGAACCACTAATCAATTGTCTTTTTAAAAAACCTACCTGGTTCACTAATGTCCTTTAAAGGTGGAAGTGTATCGTCCTTAAATGGTCTGATTTAGATGTGACTCCAGGGCCATAGCAACCTGGTTGATACATCACTGCTGTCTGAAATGGCTGAGCAAGCCACTCAGTTTAAGGCCATTTAAGAATGGACAAAAAAATGAGGAAAAATTACCAGAGACACCCACATCCCAGGAAAGAACAAAGATGACAGAAATGTGCTGTGTGTATCTCATTATCTTAGCAAGTGCATGTTCTGCTCCCCTTAATGGAAAGGACGAAGCTGCAGGGCTTTATATTGTTGTAATGTTGCACTGTTTTACATGGCACAGATGGAGTAATCAACTTCACCAGATTCGGAATCCCAGGAAAGTGAGTTTGAAAAAACGGGTTCAAGTATCAATTAATTGATCCACAATGACTCCTCATTGGTTACAAATCTCTGCAACTGTTTTTTCTCTCTCTCACACTGCTTCCTTTTTAACCAGCCTAATCAACCTCCACCATTTGTGATAACACAGCCACATGTCTGACTGTGGTGCCAGCTCCTCCCATCACTAGCAGCTGATCAGTGCCAAGGCAATATCTAACGAGCTGACACTCCATGTGCTTCCTGACTTCTCTGTCTCAGTAACAGCAGGTTCATCCTTCCTCAGCCTCAAGGAGACTCAGGAATAACACTCAGAACAACTTGTTCAGGCACGGATAAGTTACTGATCTGTTGTTGAGTGGTTTTTCTGGGCAAATTCCTGTGACCTTTCACCCATACCCCTAACAATTTTAGCAACAATGAATCTCAAGATTGAGAGGACGCGTGCGTTCATCATCATGAAACAAACTTGGGGTGCTAAATCTTCCAGTACTAAATTGTGGCTACAACCGAACAGGTTTTGTTTGGTATTCTGGCAACATTTGTAGCCAACAGCTAATTCCTCTTCCTCCTGATTATCAGCAGTAACTGGTTTGAGTGCTAATATGTTGAATTCTTGCGTTATGGAGAGTATCTGCTGTATCTTCTACATGGTAAAGTAATGTATTTTGGATGTTTCCAATGGAATTGCTTCACTCTCACAATTAGAATGGGGCTAAAAGGTCTAAGTTATAGTAAAGGCTGCAGTGTGTGTTTGTAGTGATCTGCTAAAGGGCAGGTCCTCTGTTCATTTTACAATGCCTTTTGGCTTTGCAGGTTCCACTTCAGTTGCTTATTTCAATCAGCAAGCTAGGAGACAAAGGATGGTGGTGGAAGGTTGTTTTTTGGAATGGAGATCTGTGACCAGTGGTGTGCAGCAAGGATCGGTGCTGGACCCACTGCTTTTTGTCATTTATATAAATAATTTGAATGTGAACATAGGAGATATGGTTAGTAAGTTTGCAGATGACACCAAAATTGGTGGTGTAGTGGATAGTGAAGGAGGTTACCTCAGAGTACAACGGGACCTTGAACAGATGGACCAATGGGCCGAGGAGTGGAAGATGGAGCTTAATTTAGATAAATGTGGGGTGTTGCATTTTGGAAAGGCAAATCGGGGCAGGACGTATACACTTAATGGGGAGTGTTGCCGAACAGAGACTTTGGAGTGCAGGTTCATAGCTCCTTGAAAGTGAAGTCACAGATTGGCATTTGGTACACTTGCCTTTATTGGTCAATGCATTGAGTGTAGGAGTTAGGATGACACGTTGCAGTTGTATAGGACATTGGTTAGGCCTCTTTTGGAATACTGCGTTCAGTTCTGGTCTCCCTGCTATAGGAAAGATGTTGTTACACTCAAAACGGTGCCAAAAAGATTTACAAGGATGTTGCCAGGGTTGGAGGGCTTGAGCTATAGGAAGAGGCTGAATAGGCTGGGGCTATTTTCCCTGGAGCTGAGGGGTGAACTTTATAAAGGTCCATAAAATCATGAGGTGAATAACCAAGATCTTTTTCCCAGGGTAGGGGAGTCCAAAACTAAATGGCATAGGTTCAAGGTGAGAGGGGAAAAATATAAAAGGGTCCTAAGGCACAGCTTTTTCACACACAAGATAGTGCATGTATAGAATGAGCTGTCAGAGGAAGTGTTGGAAGCTGGTACAATTACAACATTTCAAAGGCACCTGGATTGGTACATGAATAGGAAGGGTTTGGAGGGATATGGGCCAAATGCTGGCAAATGGGACTAGATTAATATAGGATATCTGGTCGGCATGGACGAGTCGGACTGAAGGGTCTGTTTCCATGCTGTACATTTCTATGACTCTAATATGAAGAGGGAGAAGACTACGTGAGGTGGATTCCCCTCTCCTTCCTCATGTGTGCTTGAAGGAAACAAATCCACTTGCTTAAGGATCCTTCTCCAACTGTAAACATTCAGTGTCCCTTAAGGTTCTAGCTCTTCCTCCCCCACAACCAAAATTGCTTTAAATCCATTATTGCCCACAGCTCATGACTTTAAGCATGGGATCCTTATCTGGGCCTGTGATGACTTGCAAAAGGGCAGGAATGACCAGTCCCTGGGGTCTCAAATGGCCCCGCTGCTCTCAGGTTGCACAGTCCAGCATGTGTTCCCTGGCTATTAAGGGTTAAACATTCATCTAACTGAGGTGTTTAAGATCATTAGAGCTTAGCCTTTTTAGGGAAGCACTGCTTCATATAAAGGGAAGTGGAAATCTCGAACTGTCTTCCCCCACAAAGCAAGTGAAACTGAGAACCAATTCTTCAAAATTGAGGTTTAATATGATTGCTTTTAGGCAGGTTTATGGACTGAAGGCGGGTAAATGAAGTTCAGATACAGATCAATTGTAACCTAATTGAATGGAGGAACAGACCTGAGGGATTGAACAGCCTCCTCCTGTGTTGTCATCGCTTAAAGAGGCGATTCAGTCATAGCTTTCAAGAAATAAATTGAATAAGTAATTGAAGGAATGCTGCAGGCAAAGAGTGGGAGAATGAGACTAGCCACATTGGCTGCAGAGAGTCAACATGAACTTGGCAGGTTGAGTTGCCTCCTTCTAAACAATCACCGTTCTGTGATTCAAAGAACTATGATGGTGGAGACTTGTTCAAATGGACATAGGCCAGTCTCCATGGTAGAGGAAAGGTGTGCGATACAGATAAAGTGTGGAAAACAACATGATTAAAATGAGGATCAGGGTATTATAGCATCTCCCCATTCTGACTTTTGGAAGTGCCTTGAAACAAGCTGAAGACACTAAAGTATTAAACAAATGAAAATATTTTCTTGTGTTCTCCTTCATCCAATCATTGATTGTTTCTCCGTTTACCATGTGGCAGTCACAGCAGATACTCACGTATCAAAATTACAGTCAGCACATGGCAAAAAAGTGCTTGGTAGTCAAATGGGCTAAAATAATTTCAAATGTAGTGTTTATATAGCCCGTGTTTCTTGTAGCCAGGTGCTGCTGTGGATTTGTACCTACAAGTGCTCCATCTCATAAACAGCTCTTGTTTTCCAATAGTACAATGTACGTTTTCTAGTTTACCTAGGCTGGGCTTGAGTGTGGTATCCAGCATCAGCTGTGTTTGACTGACTGTTTCGCCTTACAGCTAGTCCTTAAGAAAGCAAGCCTCTTTTAATAATGCATTCCGAATCAGAATCACAAAATTGACATGGTGCAGAAGGAGGCCACTTGGCCCATTCTGTCTGTACTAGCTCCCTGACCATTTTGACTTTGTGTCATTGTCCTGCTTTTTCCCATAACCCTGTTCATTTTTCTATTTAAATAATCATCTAATACCCCCGTGAATGTCTTAATTGAACCTGCCTCTGCTACATTTCCAGGCAGTGATTGCCTTTGAATAGGCAGACTTAAAATTGTGCATGTGTACACGAGCGAAAGACAAAAATTCTTCATTGTTTATTCATCCTAACATCAACATCACTGAAGATGTTTGATGCCATACAAGGCAATGGAGCCTACTTGCTTACCATGTCATCAACCATCTTAAACAACTACTCCCTCCACCACTGATGCACAGTGGCAGCAGTGCGTACCTGCTATAAGCTGCATTGCAGCAACTCACCAAAGCTCCTTTGACAGCCCCCTCCAAGCCCATGACCTCTACCATCTAGAAAGGTGAGGGCCATAGATACATGGCAACATCTGCAAGTTCCCCTCCAAGGTACACACCTTTCAGACCTGGAACTGTCTCACCATTCCTGAGTAAAATCCTGGACCTCTCTTTTTAATGGTGCTCTGAGTGTATTTAGACCACATGGACCACAGCAGTTCAAGAAGGTGGCTTACCACCATTTCTCAAAGTTAAATAGGGATGGACAATAATTGCTGGTCTTGCCCGCAATGTTCACATCCCAAGAACAAAAAAGTAGAAGTATATCACATCTAGCCAATCAGTTTGCTAGATTATTGCAATTGATATTCATTAACATGCAGTCTCGAGCCATTATTAAATTTTTTACCTCAATTCATTCTGCAAAAGTATTCTGCCAGATTAATAAATACATTCAGAGACACACTGTGTCATGCTTGGAATTCAATAATTAATGTGTTTCATTACAATTAATTTTATTTAAATACATTATGGCCTAAAAGAATAAAATAGTCAGATTGAGACTCAGGAGCTGCAGACACCCTGCACTGATCTGAGGCTGTTTCAAGAGGAAGTCAGGAACACAGTTTCAGTACCTCAAATGGATACCACCATGCAACAATTATGAATCAATCCAGCCTCGGTTAGCCAATGATATCTTTAGGTACTGCCTGTTTATTGATTTCCACAAATACATCTCAAAGTGACTCTCTGAGTTGAGTGACTAACAGCAAAGACTTGCAATTGTGAACGGCTCCCCAGTTTCTCATTTAGAACATTGGATTCCCATGTTGGAAATATAGCCAAAACAAAAAGGCAGATGAAGGCTTTAGTGTGCATCAGCGACCCTCAGTACCATTGAGTGCCTTGGAGTAAGGTCAGGCTGAGAGCATGAACCAGTCACTACAAAGTGGAGCATCCACTCCATTTATTCTTTGTAATTGTCAAATCCTCACATTAATTCCCTAAATGTGTCAGAAAATGTCAATCAGTATTCACCAAATGAAGTATTTTGAAAACGATTAAGATTCACAATGAGAAATAAAATGGTTTCAAAATTCTTAATTCCGGAAATACAAGAATTGATATTTAAATTGATACATGAAATGAGATTGTTAATTTTATGCCTCCACCCACACCCTCCAAATTTCACAGTCATGTCACTTGTAACCAATACTCAGTTGAGAGGCTGCTTGGATGGCAAAAGAACAATGCGACATAAAAACATGAAAAGCACATGTTTAGACTGTACAGCACCTGAATGATTTCAACTGTCATGATGTGGGATCAATCCTGAATCACTAACCATGTTTAAGGGGTTAATGGGCCTGCCTACGTTCCCAGTGCTTTATTGTTACATCTTGGATTCCTAGCAATCTGTTTTACTCCAACCAAATAAAAATAGAACTCATCCTGGAATTATTATTGAGGCTGAACATTTAGGCACCTACACCCTTTGTAAAGCAAAATATCAAGATTTCAAGTAACCTGTTAGCATGCAATGGGAGTTCACTTTGAAGAATGAATTTGTAATTCAAAACTTCTACTGGCTTTTCTTTTCCTTCCTCCCTCTCGCCCACTCACTTGCTTTATAATTTTTCCAGGTCCTTGAGGCTACCAGGGTGACCCGTCGAAAGAGCGCTATGGCTTTGCGCTGGGAGGCTGGTATATATGCCAACCATGAGGAGCAGCAGTAATCCATTACATCGTCACACAAGGGAAAAGGGTCAAGAATAACTTGTATTTGTTTTATTGCTATTGTTGCTGAAGGACTGATACAATGCAGCGCATTTATTCATTTGCAAAGCCACCTGCTCCATTGGAAGATCTAGTGGTTACCTTTGCGAGGATAATGAAATGGACTTGGAGCCGCTGAGGTTTCAGATTCAACCCAGATACTGCAAAAAAAAGGATTCCCTAACAGCGACTGCATAATGTGAAGAGCCAATCGCTTGTATATGTATAAATACAGTTGGTGTCCCTGTATCTTTTTCTGCACAGGCTGTGTTTAATTCACAGATATACAGGCTTCCAATGCTGTTAGCCTCCATGTACATAGCCATGGTCAATCGTTTTGGTGTATGCTTTTCTTTAATTTGTTCTTGGGTTGCAGGGTTTCTGGCAAGGCCAGCATTTATTGCCCATTCCTATTGCCCTTGAACTACTGCAGTCTATGTGGTGTAAGTCCGCCCACAGTGGCTCTTTCTTTCCTGTCGTGTTTTGCTCAGTGATTTCAAAGAGTGATTAAAAGATAATCACATTGCTGTGGGCCTAGAGTCATTTAGAGGCAACTAAGTAAGAATGGCAGATGTTCTCCCTGAAGGATATTAGTGAACCAGTTGGGTGTTTACATCAATCTGGTTGTTTCATGACCATTGTTAATGAGACTCAAAAATTATTCAACATCTTTTTATTTGATTAATTGAACTTAAGTTTCCAGCTATTGTGCTTGATTTGAATTCTTAGCTCTAGATCATTTGTCCAGACAGCCAGGTGACTAGATCAACTGATATTACCACTGTGCTACTGTTTCCCGTATTTATATTTTATATTCCCTTTTAATTAAAGCTATTATCTTTCTTACCTATCTGGTGGAAATGTAGCTTAATGCAGTCTTCAAGAATGGCAAGGAATTTTGTCTAAAACAATAAATTTCACAAAGGTGCTCAGCAGGACACTCTGGAATATCAGGCTGAATCAATTTGTTATTTTCTCTTTGGTGAACACCCTGAGCCTGCAATTTTATCATTGACACATTATCTAAACGTTTGGCAGCAGCAGAGACACAGCCGCCGTTTTGTATGCTAACTGCACAGGCAATAGACCAAGAATTTTGCTCCAATTTTCTTAATTTATTGCAGTGAATCTAGTCACATGACATAGGAGGAAAGCGACATTGGACTTTCTTGTTCATCACTCCAGTGGAAGTAAAAGATTTGCAGAGAGAGTTTCCTTGGTGGTGGATGAAAACCAACAATGGGACAATGGATTTATCACAAAAAAGAAATCTCATTTCTTTTGGCAACCTGTATCTGAGGCACCCGAATCATGTGATAACATCGACGCTGAGTCTATATTTTTCTAAGGATACTCTTGGTTAAAGGTTGTGAGGCCCAGGTTCTCAGTTTATCTTGCAATTTATTTATCAGCATTCTATTGAAGAGGTGGACTGAGAAACAGCAATAAACAGAATGGCAGGATCAAACTGAGTGCACAAATGGATACACATGGACACGGTTAGTCACAAAATCCCTGGGACTTCTCAAAAACTGTGTCGCATACAAAAATACAGCTTTGTGGGAGGGCAGTAGGAAGCACAGAGCAAAAGCATTAATAAAAGTTAAGAGGACAGAATGACCCAGCATGGTAATTGCATGATCCTATTTTCATCAGGTAATCATTTGAGACTTACAACAGATTTTTAGTGTTCATTCCTGTGATTTCGTATCTACTAAACATGACTAGGGGCTGTCAGTTTTACTCGAATGCAGTGTTTTTTTTTGTCTTAATAAAGTGACAAGATTATTAAACTCCCATTAGGAGCAACTTGTACTCCAAACAGTGTTAGAATGACATTGTGCCAGTGCTGTGACTTCATGCTATGCAGTTCCCTGCCTTTTCAGTACCTCACGTGCATGTGTTTCAAGTGTAGATAGGACAGTATAAACATTGGCCGCAGGACAATAAGGGTGCAGACTTTTCGTCTGGACCCCAATCCCCATCTAAAGCTACTAAATCCCCTCATTGCAGCAGAGTATTAAGATATCATCAATTGTATTTTGCAACATATAATTCCAATTTTGATTTTATTCCTTTATGTGTGGGTGACACACAATTTGTTCTATGAGAAATGATTCAAAACTGATCCAACAAGCCAGCAATCTCGATGGGAAATTCATAATTACCAGACTAAGTGAGGAGTTAATCTTTCAAATGAAGGGAGGTACTAATCTGTATTTTATATTCATATATATATATATATCTATAGATGTGAATTATTGCACATTGAGATTCTACTCGTGAGCCTGTGAGTTTTTACAAGTAGCTACCTTTTCAGTGATGTTTTTCTCTTAATCATAATGCTTTAAGCTATGTTTTTATCACAGATCTGTATACATTGATTTTTTTGCTATTCCAAAGGCTGTTGTCCAACACCAATAATGCTAACAGACTGACCTGATGATTAACTTAATGTTTCACTCCAAGCAACCCAAAGCTCTTGGGTCCATATGCCCAAGAAGCCGTGATCAAATCCCTATTTTCCTATGTTATTGCAGTTTGTAATGAGTGGATTTGTAGCAGGGAGGCGGTTTTCTTTTTGCTGAATTGTACTTAGCTCCTTGTTAGATTTGTCAACTGTGGTCAGCCTGGAAACTTTGTCACAAGACCTCCTGTGATCGATGCTGTGGCATTCCTGCCATTGGTCAACAGACAGGCTCATGGTCATGGCACCTCTCCTTGGCACAGCCAATTGGGAAGCAAAAGGACTTTTCATTACCTGATTGGATGAGTCTTGGCTGTCAGCTAAGTAACCCTACTTTCACTCCATTTTCAATATTCATGTAATGAGCCAAATGTACAAAAAAACTTTTTTTATTGGTCATCCAGCTTTTATCCTGAGTAATGTTTGCAGCCATGTCATGGAGACTAATTTTCAATTCCTGGAGAATACACACTAATCTGGAAGCCTGGCAACACCTATCTCTGCATTGCGCTCTCCATGTGTGTTTATTCCATTATTCAGGAAGCCCTACAATGTAAAGAATAGAAAGAGGCATTTTGAAAGGTTGAAATTAAATTATATAAGGTGGTGTATCTTATCTGAGAGTTGAGGCAGGGAAAATTAACCAGTCAGCTTGTAGTCATTGGGCACTTTAACATTTTTTAATGGCAGCTCATTGCCATGTTTTGCTCTGAACGCTTGAAAGCATTAGGGCACCATTACAAAGGAAAGGCTATTGATCAATACAGTTTAACAGAGACAGTTAATGGTTTTCCTCTGTGAGTATTTCCCTTCCCCCATCTTCTTTACAGAAGCCTTTATGTTTTGCTGAAACATCTGGGATTTACAGGTGACCTTTTTTACCATTCTTTCATGAGATGTGGACATCACTGACTAGGACAGCATTTAACGCCCATCTCTAATTTCCCTTGATAAGGTGGTGATGAGCTGCTTTCTTGAACCAATACAATCTTTGTACAGTAGGTAGACCTACGGTGCTATTAAGGATGGAATTCCAGGATATTGACCCAGCTACAATGCAGGAACTGTGATATCATTCTTACTAAGGAGAGTGTTGCTATGTGTTCGTTGTTTTTGTCCTTCATCTCCTTAAGGAAAGCAGACAACTAAAATATTATTATTTGGAATTCTATGGGGTACATAAACGGTCTGTCTTCACACAATCATTTTTGCCAAAACTGAAGTACTTAGAACTGAGTCTTTGATTTTTATTATATCTCTGTGAAGAAGTTTCTCCATTCAAAATATAAATGCACATAATGAATGAATTGAGCTTGGTTCTGCAATCACTCAATTGCTATCTTTAGGGAGATGGTCAAATAGAGAGGTCTTTACTGTAAAGAACACTGCAATCCTGGAATCAGTTATGAGAGAAATGATCTGTCACTCAGGTTAGTGCAACAAAAGATAGAATCTGTGGCAATGCCAACCTATTCCAACCTAATTGTGATGACAGTACACTTCAGACAGGAAGGGAAACTCCAATCATTCTGTTTAGGTTTCCTGGATCTCAAAGGTTAAAGTGTGCATGGAAAGGTCAGTACTTCTCAATAGCACACCCTGCTTTGTCCCTGAACTTAGTACCAATGTGTATCCTGACCATTTTTTGTTGAAGAAGAAGCTTCTGCTCATTGTCTGTAAGGCTGTGCGGTGGAGATATTGTAGTTTTCATTCACTGTAAGTTGAGATTATGTTTATCTACCTGTCAATGTGTAAAAGTGGAATATTTCAGTGAGGTTGTCCAGATGTCGTGACCTGATTATTTTGTGCTGTGTGTGCACTACATACTTGTCCTGCTTAAAGGTATAGTGCAGAAAAGTAAGGAGGTAATATGCAGTATTGTCAATTTATTTTGGCATCCTGTTGATTTCTACAGAGAGAAATAATGTCAAACTTTCCCCACATGAATTTAATATGTAATTCTATATCACATCATTTCATGTCTGTAGCACAGAAGACCACTAAACCCAGTTGTGTGCTCCAAACAAGCTTCTTTCCAACCCTCTACATCTATCTAAGTACAGTGTTTCATTCCTGTCACTTTAATCTACTGTTCTAGTTTCACCTTCAATGCACCTGTGCTCTTTGCCTCAACATTTTTAAGTTTATTTCTACTTCCAAATGTGTTAATTGAGTTTAAATCTACCAGTTGCTACAGTAGAGTTTGAACACATCTCCAGTATTACTCTCTGGATTGCTAGTCCTGAGACATGACTACTACACCACTGTAATACCACAGAGACAACTTAGCTTCATACTCTGCATAACAGCAGTCCTCCAATTATTTGGATTTACAGCCCCCAGTTTTGCAGTGGAAACATTTTGTCTTCTTTAAGTCTCCTTGCAATGTGTATGCAAGGGGGATTCTGCCTATTACTGTGGACGCAGTCCATTTAAACAGTAGTCACTTCCCTTTTAATTGGAAAGCCTTACTTTGTTCCATAATCTTGCCCACTTTTGGAGAAGATTGGACTGCAGCTCGCATGGTGCTGATGTTCTCAGTTCAAGTTAAAGGAAATTGATCACCAAGGGAGAGATCAGTCCAGATTCTACCTGATTTTCCCCAAACCCACCAGTGCTTTCTGATGCTAAGTTGGAAATTATGACTTGCCTTGTTTCTGAGACATACCTCTACTAATCACAGATTTACTTTAAATTTACAGCACAGAAACAGGGCATTCAGCTTACTTGGTCTGTGCTGTGTGCCCCACATAAGCCTCCCATCACCCTAATTTCATCGAAGTCCAGCAGTATATATTTCTATTGTTTTTCTCGACAGAATATTCCCCTATCCCCCCAGTGAGCTTAACATTAATTCTCTGAAAGCCAGCGGAATATTGCACAGTTAGTGCAAACGCCAGTCCCACTAGTAGAAATTGTGTTGCTACTGGTGTGAATTAGGGCCCAAAACATGTGATATGGTAGACTATGCATGTTAAAATGAGGACAAGGCTAGTGTAGAATGTGTGGTATAAAATAGGTAATATATGATAACATGAATACGAGTTAATGTAGGTGATGTGATAGTACAAGGGGTGATATGAATTAGACATATTAAAAAAAGTAAGATGAATAGAGTAGGTTATGTAATAACATTACAGTATACAGATCCACACAGCACTGAAAATGCCATAAGGTTTGGGTCCATATAGAAGCAAAATGCATGTCATGAAAAGTATATGCATTACAGGTTTGTGGTACATTTGGTAACATCCATTCTGATGTAGCATGCATCAAAATGTCATAAAATGAAGAGTTTACTTGATGCTGTAGAGCATAACTGATGGTGTTGAGTGTATGTGATGGTGTAGAGTATATATGATGATGTGGACTATATGTGATGAAGCAGGGTGTGTTAGAAGATGTGGTACTGACCATTGAAACAGAATCAGTCTTCAGTCAGTCAGCCAGTCAGGTAAATGATGCTGGTCAATCACAATTGCCCAAAAGTTCAGAATGAGTCATTAATATAACTGATGCAACAGAATAGTGTGGGTGGTTCTGATTTTTTTGTTGTTGTTGGTAATGCCAAAGTATTGAACCTTTATTTTCTCGATCTAATGTTCTGAACTTTTATTATGTAGTTATCCAAACAATGCCTAAACTTTATGGAATTATAAATATATTTTAAAGTGAATATTGGCTCAGTATTTTTGTAAGAAGAGCTCCAATGGAGTATGTATATCACTATGCAGGACTAAGTTGCAATAAAACCTGGCTTTGCTTAATCTTTCTCTTGTAATTATTATTCATTGTGCGGGGGAAAAAAAGTGTTAGTTTTAATCCGAGGGAACTGGACTGCACAGTTGATGTGTGTGTCTGAATTTTGATGATTGTTCCAAATATTGTTACTTGTTCTTGGGATATGGACGTAACTGGCTAGGACAGCATTCGTTGTCCATTTCTATGTGTTGAGAAGCAAACACATTTGCTGTGGATTGAGCCATGCAGAGACAAGGTAAGGATGGCAGATTTTCTTCCCTTAAGGGTGTTAGTGAACTAGATGGGCTTGAGCAACAATTGAGAGTGGTTAAATGACCACTAACTTAGGAATGTAAGAAAGTATTTTTTAAAGTGAGTGTTGATGACCTGGAACTCTCTACCTATGAGGGTTATGGGAATGCACATGATCAATGATTTCAAAGGAAATTGAATGAACACTTGTTGGAAATTAATTTTAAATAGATCATCAGATGAGTGATAGACTCAGTTGTTTCACAAAGGGCCAGTGTGGACTTGATGAGCCGAATATCCTCCCCTGCACTATGATGATTCTAATAATGTTGATGACAACTCTTTATGTTGAAGAGCCAGCAAGAGCCCTGAATCGCCCTTTTTTTTAGGAAGGCCCACTGCTTTGTGCCAATTTGGCACCTTACTGGGTAGCAGTGGGCTTTCTCCAGGATCACAGAGCTAAGAACAGTCAGCCAGACACAGGCCAGCACCTCTTTGTTGCTCATCAGCGCCACCTGGGAGACATGGCTGCTATGGGTAATGCAGGCACAAGACTAGGATCACCCAAGGCTGTCAGGCCACGGGTGAGTGATGGTGGTGGCAATCACAGAATGGCAGCCATTTGGATGAGGCAAGGAGGTTCAGCAGCCCCCACACTCTCCTCTTCCCTCCTCGCTTTGTTGCCCGGTCCATCAACACATCAAGTGTCTTTGAATAAGGGACCCTCAGGAGGCCCATTGGTCGATCATTGCGTTAATTTCAGCAACGGTGCGATGAGGCATTGATTGCCATCTTAAAAGCCTCAATTGGCAGTTGGCAGTTAAAGCCACCTGCATACCTTCCTGCAATACAGTTAATCAGAGCAGAGGTGAGAAGGCATTAGGGTCCCCTGCTGCTATCTGCCTCTCACCACCAATAAATTGTACCCTGTGTTCTGAGGATCTCATGAACTGAGGATTGATTTCACAATTTGTGAGTCAGCAAGCAATCAAAACAATCTTTCACTATTTACCTTCCAAATAGCTGTCATAAGCCTGAAAATCTAGGTACCTCAATGCAAGTCAAAGACTCATGTCATGGAATTTTGTGCTTAATGTCACTGCACTGAAGAACTTCAGTGATTAAGCTCAACTGTTCTATTCCATCAAAGTTCAACAAAGAGCTGCGGATGCTGAAAATCTGAAACAAAAACAAATTGCTTCTGTAGAGAGAAAGCAGAATTAACATTCCAAGTCCAGTGACCCTTCTTCAGAACTGATAATAGCTAGGAAAAGGTGGTATTGATGTCGATGACTGGGTTGGGGGTGTGGGGAGGTGGGGTGTGGTGGTGGGTGGGCAGGAGTGAGTGGAAATGTGGATATGGAATCTAGAGAAAGAGAAGACAGGTAGACAAGGGAAGGTTGACAGAAAGGCAAGGAAAGAAAAAATGCTGATAATGGAGACAGTGAGTAGGGGAAGATGGGTTGGTTTTGTTGAAATCAGCCCATTTCATGACAGAGCCTGGGATATGGGTGTGGGTCAAGGACGTGCAAAGAGGTGGCAGGCTCTAAAATCATTGAACTTGAGTTGTCATCAGTATAAATACCACCTTCCCTAGCTTTTATTAGTATTGAAGAAGAGTCACCGAACTCAAAATATTAACACTGCTTTCTTACTATGAATACTGCCAGACATGTTGGTCTATACCACTTCTAATAAGCCCTATCAACATATCATAGAACATAGAACAGTACAGCACAGTACAGGCCCTTCAGCCCACGATGTTGTGCCGAACTTTTATCCTAAACCTAAGGTCTATCTAACTTCCACCCCTACCTTCTAATACTTTCCTCTGCCTGTACTCATCTAGTATCCTCTTAAATGCATCTAATACCAGTTGCTTCACCAACTCATAAAGTACCAAGTCCCATATTGTAGCCAATTTGCAAAGAGGTTATATCTTACTCGATGGCCCTTAGTTTTGGATTCCGCCACAAGTGGAATCATCCATTAAACCTTCAAGTTTTGAATGAATGAGTTATTGAGAGTTAGTTCTGTTTTAACCTGATACCAAAGGTGCACCTTACAGGAATGAAAAATGATAACCCTGGTTTATGCACAGTATTTCGATTCAGTTGCAGCTCCTCAGATAATAAAACAATCCATATCCACATGCAGTAGGAGTTGGACAAGTTTAGCGTTGAGCTGATGAATAGCCAGTAACATCGGTGTCACACTGGTGTCACATCGTGACCATCCTCAATGTTGTATATTTCATATCTTGGATCCATGCACAGATAACACTAGTTTCTATGTGTGTGACACGTTTTATTTACAATGCTTTTGAAATGTCTATGTCACAGTTCTTACTTGCAGTTCTTCCTACAGCTTTCAACACAGTTCTGAGGAAGAGTCACCAGACCCAAAGCGTTACTTCTGATTTTTTTCTTCACAGATGCTGCCAGACCTGCTGAGCTTTTCCAGCAACTGTGTTTTTGTTCCTGATTTACAGCTTCCGCAGTTCTTTCACTTTCTACAGCTTTGTTTATTTAGTTCTGAATGTAAATCCAGATTTAACTAGTCAAACATAGTGAGCTTCCATTGTAAACATAGTCATATAATCAGACACAGAACAATTGTACTCTACATTCAACAGCAAAAGATCTAACCGCTTCCACTTGTTATTCAACAATATTGCCATTGCTTTGGGGTGGCACAATAGTCAGCACTGATGCCTCACAGCACAGGGATGCAGGTTCAATTCCACCCTTGGGAGACTTGTATACAGTTTGCACATTCTCCCCATGTCTGCATGGGTTTCCTCTAGGTGCCCTAGTTTCCTCCCACAATCCAAAGACATGCAGGTTAGGTGGATTGGCCATAGTAAAAATTGTCCATAGTGTGCAGGCTATGTGGATTAGCCGTGGGAAATATCGGGTTACGGGGATAGGGTGGGGGGCCTGGGTCTGGATGGGATGCTGTTTGGAGTTTGGTGTGGACTTGATTGGCTGAATGGCCTCTTTCCACACTCTAAGAAATCTATGATTGACTTCTGACCAACAACATCCTGGGGATTAACGTTAACCAGAAATTTACCTGGAGCAGCCACATATAGTCTCTGATTGGAAGAGCTGATCAGAAGCTCAGTATTTTGCAGCAGATAATCCATCTCCTGATATTCTTAAAGCTTATTCACTAGCTACAATACATAAGTCAGGAATGCGGTCAAATAATTCTCATTTGCCTGGATAAGCACAGCTCCAACATTCAAGATGTTCAACACCATCAAGGACAATGCAGCTCACTTTATCATAATCCCATCCACTACTTTAAGATTCACTTTAAGATCCATTTCTGAAGAAGTTGACTGAAACGTCAACTTTCCTGCTCCTCTGATGCTGCCTGACCTGCTGTGTTCATCCAGCTCCACACTGTGTTGACTCTTATTTAAGGTTCACTTCCTCCACCACCAGTGACAGTATATGCCATCTAGAACAAAGAACAATACAGTACAGGAACGGGCCTTCAGCCCTCCAAGCCTGCACGGACACATTTTGTCCTTCCATACTAAAATTGCCTTCACTTACAGGATCTGTATCACTCTATTCCCTTCCTTGAATGTTCCTTGAATGCTGCTATAGAGTCTGCTTCCACCACCTCCTCTGGCCGCACGTTCCAGATATTCTCCACCCTTTGTGTGAAAAACTTGCCTCACACATCTCTTTTAAACTTCCCCCCTCATACCTTGTACCTGAGTCCCCGAGTAAAATGGCGCCCCCTACCCTGAGAAAAAGCCTCATACTTTCCACTCTATCCATGACATTCACAATCTTATAAATTTCTGTTAGGTCGCCCCCTCGACCTCCTGCGTTCCAGTGAAAACAAACCGAGTCTATCTAATCTTTCTTCATCGCTAAAATCGCCCATACCAGGCAACATCCTGGTAAACCTTTTCTGTACTCTCTGCAAAGCATCTATATCCTTCTGGTGGTATGGTGACCAGAACGATATGCAATACTCCAAGTGTGGCCTAACTAAACTTCTAAAGCTACAGCATAATTGTCTATCCTTATACTTAATGCCTCTTCCAGTGAAGGCAAGCATGCCATAAGCCTTTTTTTTACTACCTTATTTACCTGTGCTGCCACCTTCAGTGATCTGTGGACCTGTACACTCAGATCCCTCTGCATATCAATACTGCAAAGGGTTCTGCCATTCAATGTATAATTTCCACCCGTACTCGACCTTCCAAAAGGCATCACGTCACATTTGTCCAGATTAAACTCCACCTACCATTTTTCTGCCCATGCCTCCAACTGATCTATATCCTGTTCTATCCTCTGACAATTCTCCTAGGCGCAATTCCACCAATCTTTGTATCGTCCGCAAACTTATTAATTAGAGCAGCTATGTTTTCCTCCAAATCTTTTATGTAGACCACGAACAGCGGAGCTCCCAGCACCAATCCCTGTGGAACCCCACTAGTCATGACCCTCCATTCTGAAAAGCATCTTTCCACCACTACCCTTTGTCTCCTATGACTAAGCCTATTCTGTATCTATCTTGCCAGCTCTCCCTGATGCCATGTGACTTCACATTTTGTACCAGTCTGCCATGAGGGACCTTGTCAAAGGCTTTACTGAAGTCTATGTAGACAACATCAGACACTTTTCCTTCAACAATCATCTTCATCACCTCCTCAAAAAATTTGATCAGGTTAGTGAGGCACGACCTCACCCGCTGTCTATCGCTAATAAGTCGATTTGCTTCTAAATATATATAGATCTTGCCCCTG